CCTTGCTTTGGGTGTATAAATTGATAATTTCAGAAATACAGTAGAACTTTTCACAATAATAGTTTGGTATAACTAATTTCAAAGCAGAGGAAATCACAGTCCTTAAAGGCAGATTTTGTAAAAAAAAAAAAAAAAAACTATAGCAGTATTATATTTTATCTCATCTATCTGTATTTGTCCTCTGTGAAATGGGTTGAATGCATCATTTTAAGAAAAAGCAGCATATTAGAACATTATAAAAAAGGTACATTATGCTAAATTAGGTGTTGATCAGTTAATTCTTCATAACATTGGAAATAACTGATCATGGCTCAGAACATTAGAGCTATCTTGCTTGATGTGTCTTTCAAAAACTTTTCAGAATTGGTGCATTTTATGTTACGTGAGAAATGTCAGAAAGTTGTCAACTATTGAGAATATTCAGGATTTATTATTTGGGAAAATAATAGGGAGTATTTTCTATGTATGTTTTTAGGGAGGAGGAATAACTTACTCCATAAAATGTGTAAACAGTGAAAAATTATCTTCCTTAAAAATTTGATCACATCATAATCGAAATAGAATAATGTTACAATGTTAATATCATTGTAATTTTTGTAATATATGCAGTACAAAAGTATTTGAACAAACTAACTTAACTTTCATTTTTTATAAGATTAATTAAGAATGTTTCAGGTTAGCAAGTATTGTTGTCAGCTTTAAAATACGTGTTAATAATATTTGGAATTATTTATGCATCTGTTACTTCACTGGTATTAACTTTATCTTGTTATTCACATTTGCATATGAATAAACTAATGTTAAAAAATTTATAAAAACTAAATTTATATATGATTTTTAGCTTTAATGAAAAAAAAAAAATATTTGTATAAGTGGTAATTTGCTTATATTGTTTTTGTCAAAAACAAAGGAAAAGATGAAAATTTGAGAAACTTCTGCTACTATAATATTTGGCAAAATTTTGAATTTTATTCTTTGGTTACTGTTTGTTTAATTTTACTTGCTGTGATATATAGCAAGGATGGAAGATTCATTTGTTGTTAGATACTTTCTAAATAAAAAAATTCATCAAACCTCCCTAATGAGTTCACAGAATTTAACATATTCAAGGTCCTTGCGATGGAAATGAAATATAAAATTGTGCAAATGTTTCATGATACTTGCAATCAATATTTGGCATACAAGTTCTAAATCTTCCAGACTTTATTATATGTATAGTAAACTTCAGGCAATTTTTCTTGGAAGTGACTCATTCATTAAATGCTAGTTTAGTGATTATTGTTGTAAAACAGTGTATACACTTTATGTACACTATGTATAAAACAGGCATGTTTTAATTCATGAAAGCAAAGGACGCAAATGTTCTTATTCTTTCTCTTAGCATATCCCAAAGCGTCTCAGTGGTATTGAGATCAGGGATTTGCACATAATGTGGAAGATAAGGAGGTTTGTTTTCTTGTTTTTCAAATTACCATTACCAGTTTTATGTTGTGAACTGTACATCGTCATTCTGATGCGTGGCATGTCCTTCAAGACAGAAAATTTGAATAATTAGCTGGACTTTATCTAGATGTCCAATTGTGAATATTAATCCTGTAAAGCTCCTGACAAAACTGAGAAATAGATGCATTTTTAACAATAAATGAATACTGAGATCTGTCATAACTTTATTAGTCGTTATTGTTTTTTTGGTTTTTTTTTTAAACATTCAATTATCTCTTTCAATTAATTCTTAATAGGCAGTTATTTTCACAAGAAAAATGTTTTGCTTTTCAAAGTATTACAGACATGAATGATACTCTGGTATTTAACAATTTGTCTTATAACTTCCCATGTTTGAAATTAATACCACTGGGAATTCAAACTTTGATGCTGTTGACAAAATTTGAAATCATTCATTGTTTCCAGCTGGAAGTGCACATATGCTGGGATGAAATTTGAAGTGCTGTATTTGTCAAGTGTTTCAGTTTTATTGCCCAATCTCTATGAAATTAATAACTCATATTTTCCTTGTTTGAAAATTGTGTATGCTTATGGTATGACAAAATTTTTATGTATTTTCAAAATACCATGAATTTTCTGAAAGACTCATGGTACATATTTATAGCATTAAGAGAAAATCAGTCTATAGTACAGATCTCCCGAGATTAGCATTAAACTTGTACATTTCTTATTGAAAATTAGTATACATCAGATAAACTGAGATATCAGCTGCTTCCCATATGAGTTATGTATAATGGAATGGCAAAACTTAATATATTCTTAATTCTTCCCAATGAATGAAAACTGACATCTTCCTCCTAAAAAAATTATTATTTCTTTACAGAGTTATAATGCAAATAATTTAATTTATAATGTTTATAAAAGTGCAATTTCCACCCAGGCTTTGTGAGTTTTAAGAGCCACAGCTGTAAAACCTAAATTAAGAAGTTTCTGTTAGAAGCCCTAACAGATTATTTTTGTATCTATAAATATATGTATATGAAGAGTTTTGATAATATACTTTGGTGTATTGACTAGTCTCATGTTTGTATTAAATTGTAAATTTATCAAAGTGTGTTTCCAGTGATATATTATAAAGTATTTTAATAAATTTTCAGGTTTTATCTTATTCATAAATTCTAGCAGTGTCATTTCAAGAATGTTATGTATTAAAACATTTTGAAACAAATTATGTGTGGAAGCTTCTTATATAAATGCTGAAGAACTTCGGAACCAATTTGAAATTTCCAAAACGGCCAATGCATAACACTTATTTCCATAACGATCTAGCTAATAAAGAGTGTTGCATGTCTCGCACTGAACCCCAACACTGTAAATGAAGTTGTTGATCATAATTTCAGGCAATAAACTGCATTCTTCTGAAAATAAAGATTTGTAATACCTAGAGAGTATCAATATCATGCTGTGGCTCTTTCTATATGATTCCAAACAGCTATTGGATTTAAGTGCAGTGACTTCACTGGTCACACCTTATGGTAAATATTCTCTTTTTCCAGAAATTCGCTAACCAGTTGAGCTTTATTTGGCTTTATATTTTCTATAAAGTCTCACATCTGATTCAAGAACCTCATCTCTATAATGCAGCACATTTTAAATGCATGTAATCAGGCATGCATCTGTCCAATGCAAGAATTCGGCCTCCACCAAAGTGGTGAAAGTTTCTTACATTGGGGGGGGGTGATAATAGGTGCCAGACTTTTATCAGGCGAAGACTTGTTGAGAATTACTTTTTATTGAATTTTCATTCATCACTGAAGAAGAGATGCTCTGTGCCAGGCTCCACAAAAGACAGGTTCAGTTTTGTGTCTGGAGACATGTACCATTGGCTACCAAATCTCAAGAGCCTGCTGTGCTAGTTGCATTTTGCATGGAAATTGTTCCAGACACAGCAACAAGATCCTGACAGAATTCTTAGCCATCATGCATCTGATGCCATGCATTAATCTTTTACTGGTATTGAGGCTTCTGCCTACTGGCAATCGTTCACACAGTTAGAAACTGATGTCATAACCCTGGGCACTTTTCAAGACACTCGTAACCACTGACCAATTTTCACTTGAGACCCCGACCAGCCCCAAGAGTACCAATTAGGGGCACCAGTATATCTGTCTATAAAATCAGTATCATGTGCAAAACTAATGGGAAATGTTGAGTGCAATTAAATAATGACGTGACATGCTGGAATGAAATATTTTAGATAGCTGGCCATCAGTATTTCAATCAGACTTGTTTTCTGTAATCTTTAGTAAAAAAATATGAGGCAGTTGTATTATACTTTGCTGATGCTCTTATCATTTCTCAGGCTTTCAGAGGTAGCAGATTTATTCTTGAATCAGAAACAGAAAAATTCTTGAATCAAACAATAGTAAACTCAGAAACAATTTGTTTTTTCAATCACACTAAAGAACAAATCGATGATCATTCAAATTAATCTTTCAGAATGTTTTCATTATCAAACATAATGGCCATCTGTTACGATTTCACTTATTATTTCTATGGAAATGAATAAACCAATGTTGTTATGATTTAATTCAAGATGCACAGCTTAATTAGAATACTACAATAACTTATACTTTTGTGGCTTAATCAAAATGCAGTATAAATGAAATACTTCAAAATTTCATTGCACATAGAAATTTGTTACAGAGGGTAGTCACTGAAGATTTGATTGATGAATAATTTTGTAAATATGTGAAATATGCTTTTGGAAAAGTTTAATACCGTTATGAATTCAATTGCAGTTGGCATATGTCACTTCTTCATAATATCATATTAAACATAAAATATGCAGATGCCACTTAAGTAATAGCAATAATTATATAAAAATAATAAGTCACACACTTCATAAAGTACTAAATTTTCTGGCCCACCAGCGGCCGAGCGGTAAAGTCGCTGAACACTGGTAGTGGTCCGAGGTCGAGTACCGCGAATGGTTGGATGCATGGGTGTTTTCTGGTTTCCCCATGTGTAACGGGATACGAGCCAGTTTCTTAGAAAGTCCTCCACGAAAGGCACCCCTCACTTTAGGCGATAGCCCTAGTGTGCTTTGCCATAATTAAAATACACCAATACACCAACTAAATTTTCTGTTCATTTGACATGTTGATTTATCTGTTCTCATAACAATAATAAAAAAATTCAAGCTTTTTTTAAAAATGTAAATTAAAATTTTACAGTACTAAAAATACATAAAAAGAGATTGCTTTAAAGCCTAAATATATATTAAAAAAACTAAAATTAGATACTATTATACAAATTACTATTATGTTTAACAATTACCATATATTTTTAATCATAGGCAATATTAAAAATAAATTTAACTAATTTCTCATGTCCTTTCATTGTTTTGATGTTAATGACTCTAGGATCTTTATTTTTGTAAGATATACATTATTAGCCCAAAGCAAAATTGCATATGCCACTAGCATAAATGTCTGCTGTAAAGAAATTCTGTGAAAATGTTATCAAATTACTCATCCAAGAATCAGTCTAGAAAATGCTACATTTGAAATTTTATTGAATGATTTAAAAAAAAAAAAATCAGTATTACTAATAATAAAGCACAAAATATTAAAGTAAATCATCCATTTTAGAAAGTTAATGTACATATTTATTACATCTTTGGTTAGTTACATTAAAGAGTAGGAGATGGCTTTACAGAAGCCAATTTAAAGAAAATTTTCATTTCTATGTTATCTTATTTAACTTCCAAGGATTTATTTAAGTTCCACGACGTAACAACAAAATTTAGTGCTTTGGAGACTGATCTGGAAGTGATCCTTACAGAGATCAATTGAAATTTACAGAAAATTTTTTTACACATTACTAACACAAAAATGAGTGCACATAGTATATGTTTACAATTCTATTAGTAAGTTAGTTATTTGTATAATGCATAACTTTTTTTGGTAAGTACATAATAAAAACAGAAGTAATTAACAGTTACTTGGCTAAAAATTACTGACATAAATACCATTTATTTTTCAACTAAAAAACATGAATTCATTAATCAGTTTTTAAAAACAAAGATATGAATTAAGTCAATGAGGTAGCTCCTTCAGCCATTGTTTTATTTCGTTTATACCTTTCCCAGTTAGACAACTGCTTTCAATAACTTTTATATCTTGCAAGGCATGTGCAGATATATCATCTAATCTCAATAAATATTTTACTTCTGAAATACAAACTGAGGAAGAAACATCACATTTATTTAAGATGATGATAAATTTGGAATCTTGTAGATAGGTATTTTTTAACATTTCAAGAAGAAGAATACATGCACAACTGATCTGCTGCGTATTTGCAACATCAATAACATAAATCACACTTTTACAACCATCAAAATGCATTGGCCATATTGCAGCCATTGAACCACCTAATTCACTAATCTGTACATATCTTTTTTTAGAAACTTGTATTTTAACTATGTTAACACCAACTGTAGGTATAGTAGAAAATATTCCATCATATGGGTCACAGTATATGTCATCTTGCTGTAATCTCCGAAGCAGTAGAGTTTTACCTACACCTTTCGGACCTACACAAATAATCATTTTCTCTTTTCTGTTTAATAATGAAGAATCAAGGTACCTGAAAAAGTAAAAAGCATACAATGTTATATCATCACAAGCATCTGCAAACTTAATACATATTTGGGAGCAGAGAGAATAAACTGTTTTTATTACACATCTGTGTTAACGATAACACTTTTGGAGAGATATAAATCAGTAAGATTCTTTGACACATTTGCATTAAGTCAGTATACACTGAAACACACATCAATCTATATACAGAATGCTCAAGAATAAAGGCAATAATAACATTCTATGGATAAAGATAGAGGGGATAAGTCCTATGAACATATAACTTAAAACAGTTTAAGAGTTACAGGGAACTGAAGATCAGTCATAAAGGATACAGATTCAGATAGTCTTTATGTCACTGAGTAACCACTGATGAACTCCATCCAATCCTATTTCCACGATATTCACTAATACTCCTTGAATGTGTTTACCAGTCTCAGTGATGACAATACTTCTTCTGTTATAGTTAGTGGTATTGTATTTTCAGCTATTATTGTCCTATTTATGTACATATGTAATCTTTTGTTTGTTCCATAATGAAGATTTTGCATGATGCAAAGGAATTTTTGTAATCTCCTGTGCTACTGATGTTTAATTAATGTTCACCAAGGTACTTTGTGTTCTAGTCATGACAACTCAGAATCCTACTGGCTGACAATTATTTTGCTTACCTTCATGTTTCTGCAGTATGAGACAGATACCTAACTTTCACATCTGCAGCTCAACATCTCATAATTTGTTAACTATCCATTTCTCACCATCTGATCAAAGGATACTTTTTGTTAATCTTCAGCTACAGAATGTACTGGCATCTGGCAACATTATTTTGAGCCCATCTGTGCATATATATGTACATGCAGATCCTTACTAATATATTTTTTCAATCTAATCACACAAGCACAAGCTGATAGATCAAAACTAAAAACTAAGCATGCTAATAATGGTTCAGAAGTGCATGATATATATTTAGTTTTCATTTGGTTGATGCTAAGGTGCATATTAGCTGCTTCAGGGACATAAAGGCCTTTTTTCATGCTTCAGGAGTTCTAATAATAATGGTAATATCATCTGCAAATGCAGACTTGAACTTAAATGTTAAAATCACTTCCCTCAGCATTTAATTTTTTTTTAATTCTAAAAAATAACTTCCATTTCATAATTTGGTAAATTCACGAGAGAATCATGAAGAAAATACCAAATGTGAAAGACATCAAAACATGAGACATGTAGAGGTGAATAAAACTAGACCCATGAGCTCAAATTTATGACTGCAAAAGAGAAGAAATACTTATTGACAAATTTATCTCTATATATAATGCCAACTGAAATTCTTCACAGGATAACACAAATATTAATACTTTAAACAGTGATGGTATAACAAAATGTTCTTTTGACTAATCTAACAAACGTACTACTAAAAGCATCATGTTTGAAATCCAGCAGGTTTAGAAGAAGCTTATTTTATATATTTAATTTTCAACAACATATTTAAAAAATCGACAGATCAGAACAACATATGAAACAAAAGTAGTTTCAACATGTATATTTGATAAATGAATTCAAAAATTGTATTATTTGACTTCAAAAACTTAATCTTTGAAGAGTACTACAGTACAAAGTCCGTAATGATCTATAATCCGGACCTTCAAGGCAGAAACTTTTTTTTGCATGCTTTATGCATGCATGTTTAATGTATAACAGACGGTATAAGCTAGGCTAAAATTATCTTTACTGATTCTAAGGCATTTTAATTACTGTTGCTATTTGCTGTTCTTAATCTTAAATGGATCGGCTTATTTTTTTTGCAGCTGTTTGAGAATTTTATAAAAATTAAGCTTGAAACTTTCGATATGTCAAAACGGTTTCCAATTGTGAGCTACCAAAGGATCTACAAAGCGAAAGCTGTTTTGATGTCCATAAGCAAAATGTGGAATTGCTGACAAAAAAGAGAAAGGTTATCCGTCTCGAATTGGAGGAGATGACATTGGAAAGTCAACTGTAAGGAATAGCAAAAAGAAAAGGATTTGTGGATTCGACCCCCATTTCAATGAATAACAGAAAAGGGTTCGTTTGCTAAAAGTGGAATCATGACAAAGTGATGATGAATAGATAAGACAGCGTCGCAGAGAGGGGTGCATGACAGGTCAATGCAATGACTCAATCCAAAATATTCATGAGAAGGAACTTAACACTGAGTGCACATATTTGATAGGTTGGTTAACAAATTAAAATCGCATGGTATAAGACAATTAAAATTAGGTGAAAAGCTTCAGCTGATACCAACAATTTGCAGATGAATTCATTGAATTCATTACTAGTGAACGATTATCTCCAGAACAAATTTATAATGCTGATGAAACTGGTCTTTTTCTGGCAATATGTACCATGAAATATCTTGGGAACCTCTACAGAAAAGGCTCCAACTGGTGTCAAAAGTTTCCAAAGCGAGACTAACAATTTTAGCGTTGGCAAATGCTGCAGGAATGCACAAGTGCAAACTTTTCGAAATCGGAAAACATGCACGACCTCGAGCATTTAAAGGAGTAACGATTTTCCGTGTTATATATCGCACAAATAAAAGAGCATGGATGACACAAGTGTTGATAAATGATTGGTTTGAAAATAATTTTATACCCGAGGCTCGATGACATTTGAATTCGGTTGGTTTACCTGATGACTCAAAAATAGTCATGATTGTTGATAACTATTCAGCGCATACTTCACTTAAAGTTTTAGTGAAAAAATATCTTCCCTCAAATTGTCGTTATCATACGCCTTGGATAGGGATAGCACACGTGCTGAATGCAAATAAAATATTAAAATTTTTTAAAAACTATGTAAATTTCTCGAACAATGGCAATACTATTCAAGACTTTTTGAAATTTTTTAGCATAAAATCTGCTTATGCTGCCAATAGAAACGCCAGCCATCTTACTCACTCTATGTGCTGGCTGTGTAACTTGGATGATCAATCTTCCTTACTTGTAATTCTTCATCACAAACTTTATTCATGTTATACACTAATTTCTTAAAATTGCTGTGGGATGGCTTATTTCTAGAGTTTCCTGGAACATTAGAACTCATAGTAAAAATGAAGATTTGAAAGTAAAAGGTCAGTAATAGCCATGTTCAACGATTGTAAGGATAACCCTCGACCTCCGAGAGGGAAAAATACTTGCGCTCACCCACACTCCTTCAATTAAACTGAACCATCTTGGCCTTCAGTCAAACTGCTTCTGCTAGAGAGGTTAGACAGTATACCCATAACACAAATCTGTATTTTCTGCTGTTTGCACCTGCATCAATTTCTTATGTCTGTGTGTGAATGTGATGCATATTCTATGAGGAAAATATGTGATAGTTATAGCATAGAAACTGGAACTGAACTTTTTTCATAAACTAGCAAATCCTGGATGTTCAATTACATTTTTCTTGAATATTTTGCAAATTCATGACTCATCTATGGAGATAATACAAAAAAAATCAAATATCAGTATTAACATGTTCTTTTACAACTAAATTTGGAATTATTGCTATGATACTAAAATCAGAAATTGCATATTTTCAAAAAATATAAATCTTTCAATAAAACTACAATATAGTCCCAATTTTCTTCAGTACATGACATACAAGGTTAAAATACAAAAAGACTTGAGATATGAAAAATGTAGATATAATTAACACTTATATAACAACAACTGTTCCATTACAATGATTAAATGACGCAAACAAATTTCCAGCTGCTGACAGTACATTAAGTCCACTTTTGAGAAGGATATTGCACCTTTTCTACAGGATGTGATGGTCATTCTAGCATTAACTGTATAAACAATTAAAAAAGAAAAATTAACAATAAAAACTAGCACAATGTATGCAAAAGGCAGGGTTGCCACTCAAACAGGAGAACGAAATTCTCTAACTTTTCCAGGTGTGTTTCAAGAAAATTCCAGGCTATCCACGTAGTGCGTGTTGGCAGTGCTGACGGTAAATTAATTAGGTACCACTAGAAAACACTAAAATTTGCCAATTACATATGATTTATAATATATATAATGCCCAAAGGATTACTTTTATAACTACAGTAAGCATTGTTTTCTCCATTGAGGATTGAGATTAGAATCTGCCCAATCGCGACTTAAAAATGAATTTTCTTCAGACATTTTGCAGCTAAAAGAAGAAGGAAATCTATTTATTTTATTTTTAAATAAATTCAAGTATTTAATATTTTAGCAGCACAATAAGTAAAAAATACATACTCGCCAACCTTAAAGAGAAAAATTCAGAAGATTCCAAAAATTCAGAAGATCACGAAGAATTAATATCATGCTTTTATATTAAAAAAAATAACAATTTATACAAATAGAAAAAAAAGAAAATGGTAATTACATTAGTAAATCTCAATTATGTAGTAACTAAAAAATTTATTAGGAACATAAACAAGAACTTAATGTTACACAAAAAAAAAAATTATGCAATGAATTTAGAGTGCATTTTTTGGCTTAAGCCAAAAAATTCTTTGGAAAAATTCCTGTCTTAACAATTAGTTTCCTCATAACATTAGCAATTAAAATGTTTTCTAGAGTTTTTGGTGAAAAACTGAAGAACAAAACATACTTTTGTTTTTTCACAAACTGAAGACTCTCTCGCACTCAGCATTACTGTGTGGAATTACGAGAATAGACAAATACTCTTGCTAGTCTATCATATGTTGGTGTTCCATCAGCTCTTTTTATTCTTTTTAAGGTACCAATGAGGACGTCAAGTCTATCTTCTCTAGAACTGGCAAAGTCTTCAAAATGCATCTTTTCAGAAAAGACCAGTTTCATAAGCATTGTAAATTTGTTCTGGAGATAATTGTTCACTAGTAATGAGTTCAATGAATTCTTCTGCAAATTGTTTGGTATCAGCTGAAGCTTTTTCACCTGAAATTTTTAATTGTCTTATACCATGGCGATTTTTAAATTTGGTTAACCAACCTATTAAATATGTGCACTCAGTGTTTAAGTT